TATATATATATATATATAATGTAGGCATGTGTTGCCTACAACATGATGCATAGGCAACTGTGTGATGTGTCTGGTAGTATTACTGCCCTAGACCATGGCTTATGGTGGCTATGTAAACCTTCTGACCCTAAAAGCAACTCGGAAGCACCTACGTGCATGCTTCATATGACTTGCTTCTGATAACCGTGTACATGAGCCCTGACAAATGCATACATGTGCAATATGCTTTATCATTACTTGATTTCTTTTTTTTGACACTCCTGTAAATAAAAAGTAAGCTTCACAGAGTTTAATGCACGTAGCAGGAAATTAAGTTGAACAGATAATGTCTACTTTCTATAGCATCTGACGACAAATCCACCATTTTATTCTATAGGGTCTTGGCATTCAGAAAATATATAATGTTGGGGGGTTTTACATCATTTTCAGGCCTAAAATGTGGAATATAACATGGGTGCAAAAATGGAAAAAAGGGCCTCAGTCTTGAAGGGGTTAAACACAATTAAGCTGGAAAAACCAGAGACCTCTATCATCCTAGGATGCTAGAGCAATGGGCACAAACTAATTGTAACTGGTACAGGTGCAGCTGCATTTTACAGTTGAACAAAGAATTCAACAGCTTATAACCTAATATTTAGTAGGTTTATTTTTATTTTTTTTACTACCAGAAAATTTTCCTTATTAAGGTCAGTCAAGAACACATGCACTCAGGCAGGTAAAGAACTGTTAGATGAGATAACATTCTAATTAAAGCTTGTGGTGAAAAATACAGATGGTACATATCGCTTGCTATGATTCAGCACCCTTTTGAACGTGGTGGAAGTGCAATGTCTCAGATCCTCAGCCCCATGCCACTCATCATTACTGGATGTGTGCTCTGATTGGGATGCAGAATGACAGGCACTCATCTGCAGGTCTGTACCTCAATAAATGCAGGTGGGGGAAAAAAAAGAAAAGTAGCAACAACACCTTTTATCAACCAGGTAGCCAGTCTCATTTTCAGATAATCTTGCATGCAAACCATATGTGGTGGGTGTGCCATGTTTTAGATCCATAGCCCCTGCACTCAATAATTACTGGTGCTCTGATTAGGATGCAGAGTGACAGGTACTCATCTTCATATATACTTTTTTTCAATGCAGTTGGGGAAACAATCGATGAGTAGCAATATTGGCCACCTACAAACATCTTTTATCAGCCAGGTAGCCCGCCTCATTTTCAGCAAATCAAACCCTAAGTGAAGGAAACTTATAATATATTGATGAACTTGAACAAGAGAATCAGATGAGCACATGTATTTATTTAGATACATCATAGGACTGAATGATAATATAGTAATAAAATACAAATAATAATATATTGGCTTTCTGCTATGTGCATTTCCTGTAGTCTGACACCCCTGTTATATGAGACTTCCAATGTCAGATATTGTAAAGTATACCTAGGGAAGGAAAGCATAATGATTTGGCTATCGGTTCCATAAAACTGCATTTAAATATGTTTATCAGTATTTATTTTAGGACTGAAATGGTTCACAAAAAGTAATTGAAGTTCTTTTTTTCATAGTCTGTCTGCATTATCAGTAAAATTGCATGGTACATGAACACTAGAGGGAGGCATCTGTTCAGGAAATTAGCTTGCTTTTATCTCTGGATATATGTTGGAATGCTGTATAAAGTTGCCAGCAAACATTTCTTGATCTAAGCTTCTACTTTCACTAATTATACACACATAATCTGCATTGAAAATATTACTTCAGTAAAAAAGGAATTTTGTGTAATAAAATTTTCAGCGGTATTTGTAAATGGAGATTTCAAAGTAATGTTTTACCATTCTTACCATAACGCAAATTATTTAGGTATTTAAACAGTTCAATGTGATGGTGGGGGGTAGTTGAAGTTTAAAACTTTTTTTCATTTATACCACACAGTGTGTGGTAATTTTTCTCTTTGATAACTATTAACTAACTGCAGATCTCATTATTTAATATTTGCTGCTATGGGAGATATGTACTGAGGCAGGAACTCGTTAAATGTTTGCAGCCTATGTCCGATTTGGAATTGTCTCCAGTATAGGCTAACTGGGTAACAAGCTTGATCACAAGGATCACCAACCACTACAGTCCATATATTTTGTTCTGCATTTGCCACTGTGAGCTCTGCAATAGGCTCAGGCATAATGGAGAAAGAAGAGGGGACATAGCCTCACTTTATGAAAAGGCCAGCTCCAGCCCTGAGCTCTGAGCCACCTTCCTTTTTAGTATGAGTACTACTTTCAGATCAAGGCATGCTCTCAGAAAATGGCAAGAGTCCATTCAGGCCGCATGTGGAAGGAAAATACCTTTTGTTCACAGCCTTTGCCACCATTTGTCTTCCATCTGATTGGGCGCAGACCTCTCATTACAGGTCAAGTGTGCTTCAGTTGCCAGCAATCATTTGTTGTATGTTGAACTGGCAGATTGCGTGGGTCAGGGGTGTTCTTATACTGCTGCTGTAGGCTAGTAACCTCCAGACAATACTGCCTTTGCTAATGGGTCTTTTAAAATGGAACTGGACAGCACTGCATAACAGGCTTCTTGAGAATAACATTGGCTATATGTGCAAATCCAAGATATAGGTGATGTAGTAATGGGCAAGTGAAAGAATGAAAAGTATTTAGGTTTTGGCCATAGAATAAGATATTCTATGACCTTTACCACTTCTAAACAATCTTGAACTTGTATAACCATGTATATTATTTTCATGTCAAATGGCACTTGCATAGTAATTTCATTTGTCACGGGTATGGATGATTTATGCACAATATAGCCATCACAAATTCAAGTAGTTTGCAAAGTATAGTAGTAGTTTTGTTTTTTTTTTTTTTTTGGTGGTGGGTGGGGGGGGGGGGGGGGGGCTGTACAACTTGTCTGCCCTGGGGCTCATGCTGGTGCATAGTGCCTCTTCTTTGGCTTTGGTCTAGGATGTGAGGAGACTAGAACATGCAATCTTATACATAGAAAAGCAGCTGCTTTTTTGGATTATGGTTGATACCAAGTAGCCTATTGACACAGAAATAAAGCCAGTTACAAGCTGCAATAAGTTTGACTACTGATGAGTTAGCAAGTGGATTATTTTCTGAAATAAAGTTTAAAAAAGTGGCCCACCAAAATGTCACTCTTAAAGGATATAGGTTGGTATTGTCCAAAAGTGTGTGCTTATTTTACAGAGGTAATAATGTAATTAACCAGGTTGTCATAAGTTTAAATTTTGTTCTTGCTAAAGAAATACACACGGCATTTTCTTTGGTTGATTCCACTTATATTCCCTTTTGGTTGGAGCTTTACATTTTCGTTCTAGCATTCCAATATCTAAATGTGTCATACTGCAGTGTTCATGCTAAATCTTGAGTGTATCCTTGTGTAAATTCAATAATAAATACAAAGAACAATTCAGAAATATACTTTGATATTCAGACAAGGATATCCCTCAATGTAGACTTTTTGGGGGTAATTGGTGTTTGAGTCATGAACTGCTGACATACATGCATGGAGCCCTTATACAATATAAGCTGTTATCGTTCATGTATTGCTAAATGATAGTTTACCTGTTTATGGTAACACTTGTTGTATAAGGGAATGGTACCCTCCAATGTAATTTTTTTTATTATTTACTATTCCTTTTCTCCCTCTTCTTTTGCTTCACTTGCATAAAAACCTCACCACAGACGCCTTTGCTGCTTCTCCTGGGGAAGCACCTGCAACACTAGATGGGGCTGCAGCTCCTTCCACCCCTGTCCCTGTTGCAGCGGCCCTTGATGCATGCTCTGGAAACGGTGGGTTTCATGTCTGCTACCTGTCATCTGTCAGCATGCCTTGTAATGACTTTACTTCTAGCTATCACGTATTCAGGCCATCCATGTTCCTATGTAGTTTGTATACTATGTGGCATTCTACTATGTCATAGTATTAGTATTTGTTTTCAATATGTCTTATGTTTGTGAAATGCTGAAACTAAGTGTATGAAGATTGTGTTGTGTACTATCCAGTCTTCTATGGCCATGTATAAAACGTTGTTTTGCAATGTAAATGATTACTTGATTCTCCTGAGGAGCACTAAGGTTAACTACTGCATGGGGTGTTTCTTAATTGAGTGCTCTTAGTTCCTGATCCTGTAGTTATTTAATTCTTAAATCCTTCCTAATTTATCCTTCTGTTCTCCACCTTTTTCTTTTATAAGACCCCTTTGCCCCATCCGAAGGTAGTGCAGAAGCTGCTCCTGAACTGGACCTTTTTGCTTTGAAGCCAGCTGAAAGCAGTACTCCTGTAGTTACCCCTACTACCAACACAGCTGCTGCTAGTGCTGCTGTCGCAACTACTCCTTCTCCTCTTCCTCCTACACCTGCTACAGCAGTTGCTCCTCCTCCTACTACTACTACAACTGCTACTACCACCGCTGCCACCGCATCTGCCAGCACTACCACAGCAACTGCTGCTGCTGCTCCTGCTCTAGATATCTTTGGTGGTAAATGTCTTTGGGTATTTTTTGTCTAGAGGTGAATTTTTGTTCGTTGTCAATTGTTTCTTGCTAGTTAGGGTTAACATTTTCATTTATGCTGTCTAGCCTCAATAATTGTCAAGACCATTTTGATAAAAAGTACAGCCATACCATGTAGAATTTCATACTTCTTTCTGCTTTGGTGTATATTTTTTCAGTTTTTTTTTCTTTTTCCCTGAAAGCTTTTTCCCAAAAGTGTCAACCTACAAACAAATCCTAATTGTAGTGTTCAAGGAACTTTCAAAGCAGATGATAATTAAAATAGCATTTCTAAGGGTTTTGACAGGCGCTGCAGACACAATTTAACAAATATGTTTTACTTTGAGAGCTACTCAAAATTTATTAAGATCCTCTTCACTTAAAATGTCAGTTCAATGTCAAATACTGAAATTTTTATCAAGATATATGTGCATGCTACAAAAGTGGCATTTCAGATTGGTCAGCTCATAGCTTAAAAACCCTGGTGGCTTGCTGATTAGATCAATTGCCAGCCAAATTTTTTTTTTTTTTTTTAAGTTTGCAGAGAATATTGATATATGCAGGTACAGGGAGAGCCAGAGAACGCATTCCTTTCAATATCCTCAACTTCAAAAGGAGTCAGAAACGTACACTCAGTGACTACTTTGTTAGGACCACTTCTCTAATACAGACAAAGTGGTGCACGTGGTCAACAATGCTGGATTATGGTGTGACATTCAGACCATACTCTGTTGGTATTATGAGGGCTAATATATCAAGGAAAAGTTTCTAACCAGTATATCACCACCACCTTCAGCCAGAACTGTGAATATAGAACAGGATGAGGATGGATTCATGTTGCATGTGCCAAACTTAAAATCGTTAATTTGTATATTATAACCGCAATCAAGATTCATCAGACCAGGCAACATGATTCTAAACTCCCATTGTCTGTTTTTGGTTAATCATTCCTCAGAGTAGCCACATTTTCCTGTCCTTGGCTAATAGTCCTCTGCCCATTCTCCAAGACTCGAAGATAACCTTTTGTATACCTAAGGTGTAAAAAATATTTGTATGGAATTTCCATCAGCTTGAACAGGTCTGCCAGTTTTCTTTGACCTCTCTCATTAAGAGGGTGTTTTTGTCCATGGATCTTCCATTTAGTAGAGGTTTGTGTTTTCAATCATTCTCAAACTTTATTAACCATAGTGGTTAAAATACTAGCAGGGCTATTCACTAAGGGGTGAAGAGTTTAGAGAAGGCAGGAGAAGTGAACAATCTAGGACAACATAGCAGAACTGGAAAGTGAGCTGAATTGGAGAATGTTTCTAAATCAGCTATGTTGTCCTAGATTATTCACTTCTCCTGCCTTCTCCAAACCCTTCACCCTTTTGTGAATAGTCCTGTAGGAGGTTAGAAGTGTCTGAGATTTATTTTTCATTTCAGGCACCTGAAATCCTTCCTGGCCATGTGTAATAGAATATCATAAATGATCATAGTTTTTTGTTAGATTGTTTAAACTAATAAAGCGGCCACTGAGTGTTTATTAGGATGCATTTTTGGACATCAGGAACATCTAATGCCACAAACACCTACAAGAATAACATTTAATAATAAAGTAATAATTTAGAATTACCTTAAAGGGTATGGGCTGTTCATTATTCGTGGCAGCCCAGCATGGAGCTTGCATACCCTTTTTCTCTTAAAGAACATGCCAGCACCTACTAAAAGAATAGGATGGAAAGGTTACACTAGGCTTATAAGTCAGTTCAAATGGCAAAAAGGAAAAAACTTGGCAGTGCATTGTCTGGCTGTTTCAGCACATGCGTTGTTTGCAAAATTGCGGTCTCAAGTTTACTTAATACAATCATTTTTTATTTTTCTTCATAATGCTATTGCAATAAGCTGGAACTTGAGCTGCTGTGTCTGGATTCATCTGTATGTTTTACTATACAAATGGAATCTGCTTTGTCACTGTTTTGTGCGTTTGTTGCATGCCTATTTCTTTATGATAAGAGATTGATCAATCATTGGAAGCTTTTTTTGGGAAATGTTTATATTAATAACATTACCTGTATTTGGTCTTAGATTTATTTGAGTCTGTTTCGGGAGTAGCTGCTGTTCCAAAGCCAGATGTTACGCCTAGCATAGACCTGTTTGGGACAGGTAACACATGACATCTCTCTCATTGACATTCTAAGCTTCATTATTTTTACTGCAGTTCTGATTTTCTCATTGCTTAAACTGACTTGGCTCTTGTTTCCTCTCGCTTTGGGAAGATGCTTTCTCATCCCCACCGCATGGGGCTTCTCCTGTGCCCGAGACTTCCCTCACTGGAGACCTCTTGTCTGGTGAGTGCTTTTCATACAAAGCACTTGAGTGATATTTAGGCCTTGTGGATGAGTTGCAGTTAACTATTCCTAAATAGCCTTGAAGTTCATTCATAATAAAAATAGAGAACAGAACTCAAGTGGCTAGTCAACTGTACATGTTGCTGATTGTTGTTAAGCAAGGCTGTGTCTTCTCAAGTTCTAAACAAGCTTTGCCTGCAGTAACATTTCATTACATTTGCATTGAGTATCATCTAATGCTCTAGATTTTTAGCTGCATGTGCCTAGTTCTTTTCTCATTTTAGCTTTTCTTTGACAGTATGTTATTGCAGCGTCTTGTGGGATTTGACTAATACAGTGTTATTTTGTAAGGACACATTTTTTGACTTGGCTACCTAATGTAATGATGTGTGGTAGTCCATGGAAATCCAAAATCACTGAACCTTCTCTTATCTTGAGAAAGTTATTTATTGATTTACAAATGAGGATAAGTGAACCTGGCCAAGTTTGGCACATCCAGCAGGAAATCCATGAACTCCCAATTTAGCGCCGAACTCCCAATTTAGCGCCGAACTCCCAATTTAGCGCCAAACTCCAGTAAACTATATGGGAAGTAAACCCGTCTAATTTTTTTGGCCTTTTTTTCAAGGCTAGTATGCAAGATTTTGTTAAAGGGCATGGGTAGCTTGGCACTGTCATGTGTGACCTATGCCAATGCAAAAAAATTGATTACCGTAGTGGAGAGAGGTTCTCTTCATTGGGCTTAAAGGGCAGCATTGAAAATACACAAATCCTTTAACAAGCTTGGGGGATGCCTAAAGTTGCACATGCTTTTACAAAACAAAATAACTTGGTTCTTTAAAAGTGACAGTAAAAAAAAGAGGGGGGAGAAAATAGTGTGGGCTTCCCAAAAAAATTACAGCAAGGCCCTTATACCAGACTGCATGCCTTTCAACATAGGGTGGGTACCTTGCAAGGAGGAGGGACAGGAAAGCCATTGTTGAAGAACAAAAGCCCACTTCCTGCCCCCTCCCCATGTCTGATGCACCAAGAGGATTTGGGTATTTGTGGTTGTAACTTATAAGTAACTGAAGGTCCCCATTATAGTAAAGGAGGCCCCAGGTATTACCCCCTCACCCTCAGGGAAATGGGTACAAGGTTAGTGTTATCAGTTACTGCCTCTAAATGACAGATCCCTAGAGCTACTGTAAAGTAAACGGCAATGATGTCTCCTGGGATCCCTGGCAGTTTGCTTATATACAGCAGTTGGAGATGTGTATTTAGTGGCGGTAGTGCTGTGGGGTAGCATCACCCCGTGCTGGGTGGTGGTGGTGGTAGGAAAACCTCATCATAAGGTGGATTGTCTTGGTTGATGAAGAATGCGGATGTCTTTATTTTCTTTTAACTCATTGTAGGAAAGGGTAAAGGGGTACTAATGTGCCCCCTGCATTTATTATCCTTGGAGGAGGTGAATATTTGGGGGGCCAGCTTTTATTATAAAGGGGGCTTTCAGATACCTGCAAGTCCCCCCCCCCCCCATTCCTGATTGGTCAGGAAGTCAGGCTGCCTAGCAACAAGTGAAGCCGGCTTCCTGGCCAATCAGGAGGCGGATCATGACTTGCCACTAGGCTGCCTAGCAACAAGTGAAGCCAGCTTCCTAACCAATCGGGAAGCTGGGCAGCAAATCATGCCCCACCTCCCGGCTTCCTGATTGGTCAGGAAGCTTTGGCAAGTGAAACCAGTGTTCTTTCGATAGAACGGCTTCCCAGTCCAGGCAATCAGGAAGCCGGGCAGCGGGTCATGATCCACCTCCCAAATTCTTGATAATTTGGGCACATGGCACCGGTATCGGTACACGGTATCATCGAGTACCGGAAAAAAAATCTCGGTACTCATACTTGATACCAAAAAACTGGTATAGGTGCATTCCCTACTTGGTGCACATGCTCTGCCTGCTGTCTGTTTGGAAGCTGACTTCCTCGTTTTAGACACCCCAAATTACTTTTTTCATCACTTGCAGGGGGGCTCCAACTGTTTCAGTGACACCTGCTCCCTCTCAACCTCCTATACGCCTCACATGTAATCTGCGTCCATTGCGGGGTGGGTCCAGCAGTGATGATTGATTGGAGTCCTAGCCCCTGCTAGTCAAGAAAGGTGAAAATCGAAAGAACGCATAACTGTAAATAAGCCACTTAAATTGTGTGTGTGTGTATACATATATCTGACCTCTCCCAGGAGAATAAGTACAGAGGTAGGTTAGTAACTGTTACCCATTCCCACAAAGGGTTACAAGTAAATAAAGTCACCCATAGTGTGATAAATGTTCCCTGATGCAAATCTATCATCAGCCATGTCGTCCAGTAATGTAGATCCATCATTCATTACAATAACCTGCTGTCTGACTATGTGTCCCTGACAACATGACTACCAGTCACCCGACGATGCTGCCTTGCCACACTACCATCGCTAAATGACAGATCTCTGCCGCTGCTGTGATGTAAAAAAAAACCAGCCCTGGGGATCCTGGGTAATGTCATTGAGAAAATATGTTCGTGACCATATTTGATAGTTGCATCTCCTGGTTTCCCCAGCTGTTTGTTCACATATTACAACCAGAAATTTGGGCTGGTCCAAACAGTTTTAGGGTTTTACCCAAATCTCATCCCTAGTTGCAGACTGCTACTGCTGTTTGAATAGTGTTGTGATATAAGCAAGGGATGCACAGATAACAGTTTAGATACCGGTGCCAATACTTGGCATTTTCACGCAAACTACTAAAAACTGTCAAATGACCCTAAACAAAAATGTATCGGTAATTGGTATCTGAGTACTTGGACAAGTATCGGTACTTGTACTAGGTCTGGAAAAAATAACGGTGTATCCCTAATATATAATAAATATATTTATCTCAAGTCATACATTAAAACAGGGATCCACAAATACCAGGAGCCCCATAGCCAATGCTCCTTAAAAATGCCTCCTAACTTCTGAGGTTTTTCTCTAGGTTAGTCTTGGAGCTGGAAAAGTATCTGTACTTGTACCAAGTACAGTACTTGGTATCTGTGCATCCCAAATATAAGCCTGTAGATGTACCACCCACTGTAGATAAACTGCAATAGACCAACAATATGCTTTGTCTACTGCATATTAAACACCTGCTCTTAAAATAACACTATACTCATGAGTTGAATCTTAAAAATGCTTTCAAGTACCCTATTAACACACAGGAACAAGCTTGGAGAGGTGACTACTTTACAACACACACAGGGACCATAGGGAACAAAAGTAGGCACTCTCCAGAAGGAATGACCGTGTCCATACCAATTCAGAGATAATTTGAAGATCTACAGTCAAGTGATACACAAATAGGCTACATTTATGTAGGTTGGGGTACTGGTATGAATTTTTAAGATTTAACGCCTAAGTTTAGTGTCACTTTAACATGCATTGCTAACAGGTCTTCAGGTTGTTGTTTGAGTACTCTAAAACCTTTAGCCTGGTTTTAGTTGCTGTCTGTGTACCTGACGGGAATGCGTTCCCCTCATTTCCTGTCTAGTGCATAACTGTATTTAGACCATTATTGTGAGGTGAACTTACAATTTTCTGGTGTGCAACCTTCTCCTACCCCTATAGCGAATCTGCTAAGAAACCAGTGACACTGTCGCTACCCCTTGTAGAAATTCTGTAGGACACAGGCAGCACAAAAAAAAAAACCAAAAAACAAAACTGGAATTATCCAAAAATAACAAAAATTGCCTGGTGGTCCTCCATGTTTTCTAGTTTCTCATATTCCATCACACCAACCCCTTTAACAATGTGTTTTATTTTAAAGTCCACCTGTTCCCAGACTACAGACATTAAAGTATTTTCATATTCTAAACATGCAGTAAAAGCACTTTAAAACATGCCCTTACCTCTCTAGCTGCACGTACTGTGAAGTAATTCACTTTCAAGATCACAACAAAGTCTCTTAAGTCTGCTTTTAGGTTCACACTAGCCTCACACAAAAAAAAACAGTGGGGTGCCTTTGTTTTTAACTTTATTGAAATTTTAAAGTGACATTTCATTAATTTATATGCACCACAGCACATCTGCAGTGTAAAAATGGACAGTAGCATCAGTTGAGCTCCAGGGCATTACGGAAAAATGTAACATGTCTGCTTTTTCCTCAACGCACTGCAACACACCTGAAGGCAGTGTTGCAGTGTGAACAGGGCACATGTTAAATGTGCCCTTGCAGTGACCTGATCAAGTGCCAAAAAACACTCATCACCGCACATGGTGTGAATGGGACCTCAGTGTTTCTACCACCTTAGAAACCCCTGCTGTTTGTATATTCGAAGACTGATAGGTTGCCAAAACTCTTCTCTTATGGAAAGAGCTGAGATTTCAAAGCCCCTATTGGGAACTTTGAAAATTAATTTCTCCCCAATGCTTACAGCTACGGAAGTGAATGAGAACTTGTAAAGTGGTCCTTTTAGAATATGTAAATACTTTAGTGTACATAATCTGAGCACAGGGTCACAATAAATTTACTTGTTTAAATGTATTGTAGTGATACAGACATTCTAGTCACCATATAGTTATAGTCACACTTGCAGAAGATGGGTTCTTCTTAGTAGCATACTCCTGCATACTATCTGTGCCTAGAATGTACCTGTATGGAAAATTTCCTACAAAATGCATAATGAGATTTGTGTTAAAGGTTTTTGTTTCTTTTGTACACTGCGAAGTTTTAACAAGCATTTTTGAATCCTTGTTTTGTAGTTACTTGACTACAGAAGGATTGTTTGCAGTATTGCTGATGTCTTTACAGACCAGTATATTCAGTGTTGTGACTAATGTTCTATAATCATTGTAGTGGACGCTTTTGCAGCTCCGTCCCCTGTGCCCACGGCTTCACCTGCAAAGATTGAGTCTTCCGCTGTGCTCGATTTATTTGGAGGTATTTCATGTTTAATTGACCACCACTTTTTGCTGAATCTTTTTTTAATGTATATACGCAATTGTGTACAGATTCCTCCAGAAAAGTGTTTTAACAATAGGATGTTGCTACTTAAAGGCCAATTCTACTTTTAAAATACCCAGTAGTGATTGGTCAAAGGGGGTGGTGGTGAAAGGGGGTATACGTTACACTTACCACTGTGTACCCTAAGCTATGATCTGTTTTAAAGAAAAAATCCAGGAACATTTTTAATGAACCCTTGCAGTGGGGTTACCGCTGTACTGCAAGGGTTAAGTGCTCATTTGTGGGAAAGGAGAAAACACTCCAAAAATATACTCAGAAGCTCAAGCCTGTCAGCTGTCACAGCCCTTCCTCCAGCTTGTCTCCTTCTCCGCCGTGCAATGGAATCTTCCTCGGCGTCCTCACAGCTATACACTGTGTATAATGGTGATGATTTAGGGGGCCTTTCGACCACTGCAGAGTGGGGGGAGAGACGTTGGAAGGACCGGTCTAAGAAGAAGGTGGCTCAGCTTCAGGTGAGTATAACTTTTTTTATTTATTTTTAATCTAGACACAAAGGAGCACTTACTCCTTGCAGTATGACTATAGCACCACTGCAAGGGTTAATAGTAAAAAAAACATCCTGGAGTTTTCCCATTAAAATACCAATATGATTGACCTTTTCAGGTCATGGGGTCTTTTAATGTATCTTGTCCAGTGTTGTATTTCTCCTGGACTTTCATAAAGTTGACAAATAGGATAGGAAAAAATGCAAGTGTTGACTGCACAGTGTGTCACTTTAACTAAAGGTTTCAAGTAACTGATCAGTGAATGAGAGGAATGTAACATGCAATATGTGAATCTTCCTCCCTCAACCAATCATCTTCATAGTTTGAAGGAAAGCTGTGAGGGTGGAAATATGGGAGCTGTATTTGTTGGGTAAGAACTTTTTTATCTTGCTTGCTGCCTGGAACAAGCATGCAGTGTCAGTACACCTGTATACATGTTCCAGGTTAGTGACTCCTAAAGTAACAATTGAAGCATACGAATGGTGGCACTGGAGCCTGTTCTACAAAAACAAATTGGCATTGATGGTGTCTATAATTCATCCTAACAGTTTCTTGTTAAAATGGATTGTTCAGAAGCTTTCCCACCTTTTTTTAAAACCTTTTTTTTTAGTTTTAAGTTTTTTTGGGGTAATTAAAGGAGAACTATGGGGTCAGGGCTTTTCCCCATAGTTCTCCTTACGGTAAGGGGAGGACACAAACTAGCCCCCTCCCGTCACCCTAAGCTCAGTATACCGTGAGCTACAGCTCGCGGTATACTGAGATGCCACAGCCGGAGCGGATCCCGACATCGATGTCGAGATCCGCACAGCTGCGTGAGTGACAGCTGGCTCTGCCTATCTAGAGGCAGAGCCAGCTGTACCCCTCCCCCGTCTGTTCCGCCAGTCAGCGCTGGTGGATCGGGAGGGGGGAATCCATCCCCTCCCCTGTCACGGCAGAGAGCCGTGACAGGATCGAGAAGTGAGCGAACATCGGCATGTGTTTGCTCACCTCCCGATCTACTGAGCCGACCTGTGACAGTCTCATTGTCACAGGTCGGCTAGAACTATGAGGTGAGTGAAAAGCACTCACCTCATAGTTCTCCTTTTTAAGGAAGGGTTTTTTTTTGTCTTCCACTGGAGGCATTTGCCTTTACTTACTGTTCCGAAGATGCAACATGAATTGAGAGAAAGTTTCTACAAATGGTGTAATCCCATTTGAAATTGTTGTCTCCAGAGCAGATGTCCTTGTAGAAGATTTTCCCTCACCTTTTGTTTCATTGACAGCTGTAAAAATGTAGGTTTCCTATCACTTTTTAATGTTTCTCTACTTAACGGGGGGGGGGGGGGGGGGGGGGGGGG